CACAGAGAAACCCTGTCTTAAAAAAACAAAAACAAAACTAATTTTCCCTCTGGGCCTTTTACCTTTCCTTACCCTCTCTCTATATTTCTTTCCTTCTTACACCCTGGCTGGCTGTGTGGCTCGCTGTGTGGCTGGCTGTGTGGCTCGCTGTGTGGCTGGCTGTGTGGCTCGCTGTGTGGCTGGCTGTGTGGCTCGCTGTGTGGCTGGCCCCTGGCATCCTCCTTTCCTTCTCCTTTTCTCACTCCTTGTTCTCCTCCCTAGATTTCTCCTTCTATTTATTCTTTCTGCATGCCAGCCCCACCTATTTCTCTCTCCTGCCTAGCTATTGGCCATTCAGCTCTTTATTAGACTAATCAGGTATTTTAGGCAAGCAAAGTAACGCAGCTTCACAGAGTTAAACAAACACAACATAAAAGAATGCAACACCTCTTTGCATCATTAAAGAGCATAAAAGAATGTAATACATCTTAAACTAAAATTCCAAGCATCATCAACCTTTTTGTCATAAAAGGAGATAATATAATCATCCCTTGCAACCCATTCTAGTTTGGACTGCCGCATGGAAACATAAAATAACCAATCCTTCAAAAACCAGGAACACTGGTACTTATATACACAACGGTTGGGTCATCAAATGAAACACAACTAGGGAATTGGGAATGTAGTTCAGCTGGTGGAGTGCTCATGTGATTACACACCTATACTCCCAGCACTGGGAAGACAGAGGCAGAAGGATCAGGAGGTCAAAGTCATCTCATCTACATAGTATGTTATAGGCCAGCCTGGGTACGCAAGACCCTTTCTCAAAATAAATAGATAGAGATAGATGGTTGGATAGAGAGGTTAGGTAGGTAGGTAGATAGATAGATAGATACATACATACATACACACAGAGATACACAGATAGATATATAAATACATACATACATACATACACAGACAGATGCATAGATAGATAGATAGATACATACATACATACATACATACGTACGTACACAGATAGATACATAGATAGGTACATGCATACATACATAAACAAATAGATAGATACATACACACATACATGCACATAGATAGATAGATAGATAGATAGATAAATAGATAGATAGACCAATAAACTCAAGTAAAAAACAAGGATATTCTAATAGGCTGCTTAAACACAGCATTTAAACATTAAGTGGGTCAGCAGTAAGGCAAGAAGTGGTTTGTTTATTGTGATTTTTACAGCAAAAGTATGTAGTAGAAATTAATATTTAAAGAATGATTAAATGTATATTGTTAATTCAACAGAAGCCCCAAGTCAGTACATTTTGAAGGTCACCAGGGCACTATGAAGTAATTCATAGTCTGGCCTGACTAAAGCCCTATTACCTCCCTCTTGGAACAAACTTGATGCGTGTATTGACTGCTTCCCATACTCAGGCTTCTGTTTCTTTAATTAAAAAGAATTTTCCTTCTCGGCAAACATAAGAGGCAGAATTATTAGGTGATATCTGGGTAGGGCAAATTATCTATGGATGCCGTCAAAGTCCCTTCCAGGGGAGCCTCAGAAGAATTTTACTATGACTGGTCTTTTCAATCTGGGTCCCCCACACTCATGAGCTACTGAAGTAGTTCTAAGTAACGTAATATACATAGATAACCTGACGTTCCATAAGACGCAGAGTGGGCCAAAGTCTGACAAGAGCCTTTACGACCATATTGATGCTGTCTATCCCTTGTGACATCCCCTCATTTTGCCTAGGGAGGTAAAACCTAGATATGGCTGAAAGTGTAGCAAACTCCTGTACCTGTGGTATTAAAGCAAGAGCCTCAATTATAAGCCAAAATGAAAGGTATTAGCGAGAGATTTAACACTTACATTCACACTTGGAGTTACAAGGTGTTAATGAGCAAGACGTCGGAAGGCATGCATTTTTCTCACTTGGCTGTCTGGTTTTACTGTTGGCGCAGAGAATTCGAAACCTCCAGTTGTGAAAGCAGGAATCAGGAGTGTTTCCTGCGTTATGAATGATACCCTCGCTAAGATGAGGGGCTTTTGGGGGGAATGCAGGGAACAGCCAGGGTCACTGTTTGCAGCAAGCAGGATCCGGAATTTATTGCAGAGGCAGATGTGTGAACTGACCAAAATGGAGAACGATGAGAAGTAACTAAATTATGTATGACAGCCTTTACACGGCCGAGGAAGGAAGAAAGCTTAATGATGCTGTGGTTGAAGGACCAGCAGCAACTGGTGATGTATTAGCTGTACGTCGGCAAGAAGAGGGATGAACCCACCAAGACCCGAGGACTACAGATGACGGTGACAGAGACCAAGCTGTGGGTGGGGGAGAGAAACCACTTGCTCAGGACATAATGAATTTTAGTGGCAACATGATAGTCAACTAAAGTTAACTTGACATGAAAAATCATCGCTTTAATCTATGTGGCTCTTTCAAGCCTGTGTTTTATCAAGGCAAAAAAAAAAAATCTATAGTTAACAATGAAATATTTTCCCTTCTTTGCTTTCCTGGCTTCCACCAAGAGCAGTACATAATTTAATTATGGAATCTACAGGCTGGACCATGGAAATGAAGAATGATGTGTCTGGGCTAGTGAGAAATTAGGTAGCCCCAACTGTTTATTCTCATCATTCTTCCCTCTGTGAGGCTAAATTAATAGTTAACAAGCTTTTGTTTGGATTAGCAGTTGAGCTGTGCAGATCAGAATTCATGATTACTACAGTAGCTTTTATTTATGGAGAGATTAGGGATGGAGTGTGGGTAGTAGCCGGTAAGATCCACGGGTAAGACAAACATGGACGCTTGTTTTTGTGTGCCGGAACAAAAGTTCCTCCAGACTGAGGGAGTCCAGTAAAGGACGTGCAAGGAAATGGATGTAGTTCCTTGGGGCATTTGATCTCCACAGACTTTACCAGGGGACTGTCAAGCCAGCATGTGTGCACCTTGACTAACTGAAGAAGGGTCCTTTCGCAGGACTGGAGTAGAAACTCTAACCCAGGTCAACCAAAAGGCGATGCAAATTAACTTTCGAAGTATGAGGCCTCAGGGCACGGCTGCACGCCCTACATCCTCCTCATATGAAACGGACAAACCACCGCCTAGCTAGGAGGACTCAAACTTGGGGCTTATTATAGAGACCCAAACCAAGTCCCTTCATTGCCCGCCCCTTTCAGGTCCGGGGCATCAAGAATCTTTGGGTCTTTTATTCACCTTTCTGTATTTATAGTAACTGCTTAAGAAGGGGGTTATGGGTTCAGAGGACTGGGAGGCGCACTCATCATCAACAACTAAAAAGATCGAGCTCTCAGGCCCGTGGGTGCGGCGAGGTACGGTCCCTTCCTGAGCCCACTCCTGCATCACCAGGGCAAAAAAAGCCCAGTGCAAACCACAAAGGTAAACGCAAAGGTGACCGCAACGCTGGGGTCCCCCGCTGGTTCCACGCTTGTCAGTCAGACTGCCGACCCACTGTGCATCAGGACCCACGGTCGCCGCACCCCGGGGTCGCCGGGGGTCGCGACCGCGCGGAGGTGCTCGCCGCGCTCGTCCCCGCCTCCCCTTCCGCTGCGCGCGGGCTCCGCCTCCCTCCCGACTTCCTTCCACGCGGCGGCGGCGCCCGGGGTCGGGTGGTGCGAGCGTGTCTCCTAGCCCCCTCCGGAGCGGCCGGCCGGCTGTAGCGTCCCCTCGTGGAGGACTGGGCTGAGTGGGCGGCCACTCGCGTGCTTGCGGGCTCGCCGCCGAGGAGGGAGGGTGCTCCCCGAGTCGCTGCTGGCGCGCACGTGGTGGGGAGGATGGAGACTTGAGAACCTGGCGCAGAGTTGGGAGAAGTGGCCAAGACTCTGCGTCCTTTCCCGGCAGAGGTGTAGCGCTTTCTCCCCGGACTGGTGACATCTCAGCCTCAGTTTCCTCGTTTCTGAAGCTGCTCGTGGGTGGGTACAGAGCCCCCAGGGAGTTTTAGTTTGTTTGTTTGTTTGTTTTTTCGAGACAGGGTTTTGGAGCCTGTCCTGGAACTAGCTCTTGTAGACCAGGCTGGTCTCGAGCTCAAAGAGATCCGCCTGCCTCTGCCTCCCAAGTGCTGGAATTAAAGCTGTGCACCACCACCGCCCGGCCCCCCAGGGAGTTTTAAAGCAACCACAGGGCAGCCCGGGGTGGAGAACCAAGTCCTCTCTCGCTGCCTTCCCTTCCCCCTCCAACCCTTAAAGCAGGCTGGAAGGCAGTCCAACCAGCAAGTCTCCCTGTTGAGCAGGGTTGCAAGGGCTATTGTTTGTGGCTCCTCATACCTACTTATCCACTGCTAGATATTGCCCTGAGTCTGAAGGGGAAGTTTGGGAAATGCCCACCTTAAGATCTCAGTAAATGGGGTAACCCTGTATTGCCGTCCTTCCCTAGTTTATTTTTCAAAGGATTCTTCTCTTGGCTGAAGTTCTGTGCCTCCGCCCACCCATTATAGAGACCTCTCAACCTCTCCCCCATTGTAAAGTCCATCTAGGCCAGGTCCTAAAGCCCATGTAAGAGAACCTGGCTTTAGTATTAGCATTTTCTTATTTTTTTTCCATTTAGTTCACTTCTCATAGTTGATCAATTGATTTATTTGAAGAAACGTTAGTTCCCAAACTGACCCCATTTAAAATTTTATTATTTATTTATTTGCACTGGACTTAGAGGGCAAATTTCCCAAACTGGCCTCATTTCAATTTTTTTCTTTCTTTCTTTCTTTCTTCCTTCCTTCCTTCCTTCCTTCCTTTTCTTCCTTTCTTTTCTTTTCTTTTCTTTTCTTTTCTTCTTTCTTCATTTGCAGTGGCTTAGCCGTCAAATTTCCTGAGTTCTGGTCTGTAAGATGTGTTGCTAATGCGTGTTTTAGCTAGACGTGAGGGTCTTAAGTGGATAGGACCCCTGTTTTGTGGTTTCTGCTTAGTGAGTACAGCTGCCGTTTTGCCCAGGGCTCAGGATTGATGCATTTACTTGGAAAGCAGATTGACAGTTGTTCTTCTCCGTGTTTAGGGGCCTGTGACTTCGAGACCCAACATGAGTGACATTGCCTGCAAAAAGCGGGATGACTATCTGGAATGGCCTGAGTATTTCATGGCGGTGGCCTTCTTATCGGCCCAGAGAAGCAAGGATCCGAATTCCCAGGTAAATCGGTTTTGCGGGCGGGTGTTCAGTATTTCATGGTGGTGGCCTTCTTATTAGCCCAGAGAAGCAAGGATCCGAATTCCCAGGTAAATCGCTTTTGCGGGCAGGTGTTCAGATACTTGCAGAGATGTACACAGAGAGCAGGTGAGGAAGTGGGTGCCTGGCAATGTAATTGCAGAACCCATCTGCTGCCCTTAGTGCCCAGCTCCCCCATGCTTCTGCGCCACCTCCCCAGCGGCACACACACCGGCGATTCGGAGTTACCAGACCCTTGGGTGATGTTTCTCTCTAGGTTGGAGCCTGCATTGTGAATACGGAAAACAAGATTGTTGGGATTGGGTACAACGGGATGCCAAATGGGTGCAGTGATGACCTGTTGCCTTGGAGGAGAACTGCAGAAAATAAGCTGGACACTAAATATCCGTACGGTAAGGCATCCGCAGGCTTCAGCCTGATTCCTGTCATAGCTTAGTGAGGGCTTCATTGAAAAACAAAAACGAGGGCTGGAGAGATGGCTCAGAGGTTAAGAGCACTGTCTTCTCTTCCGGAGGTCCTGAGTTCAATTCCCAGCAACCACATGGTGGCTCCAAACCATCTGTAAAGAGATCTTGAGCCCTCCTCTGGCGTGTGGAGGCAGAAAGTTGTATACATAATAAATAAATTTAAAAAAAAAAAAGAAAGAAAAACAAAAACGAGTCTTCCTTTTTAGTCATCAACAGATGGAAAGGGGAAAAAATTTGTAGTGAATTATCCTATCTTCCTGTTTCCCCTTTTTAAGGCAGTGTTTTAATTAATTCTTTGATAATTTTATCTTCTTTTAAGATTTACATATTTATTTTTATTTATATGCCTGTATGTGCCTACATGAGTTTATATGCATCATTCTATCTCTTTTTTTTTTTTAGTTTTTCACCAGCCAGCTCCCGAATCACTACAGAGAGACTTATTAATTATGAAAGCATCTCTGATAGCTTAGGCTTATATCTAAATAGTTCTTACAACTTAAATTAAACCATATTTTTTAATCTTTGTTCTCTTACATGGTTTGGTTACCTTTACTTTGTAAAGCCCACACTGCTTGCTCTGCAGCCCCTGGCATCTCTTCATAACTCTGCCCTTCTTCCCAGCATCCTCTTTGACCTGAAAATCCTGCCTAGCTATTGGCTGTTCAGCTTCTTATTAAACCAATCACAGTGACATAACCTTGCACAGTGTGACCGGGTATCTCGCAATGCGTAGGTACAAGTGACAGCAGAGGCCAGAAGAGGGTGTCAGGTCTCTTATAACAGGAGTTATAGGCATCTCTCCAACGCCACACTCCTGTCCCCATCTCTTAAGTTTCAAAGAGCCACCGATGAAAGCACGGTACTGTTCCACAGACTGGCCCTGAGGTCCTGCGCCTTTGTGGGTCTGGTGTGCTTCACAGTGGTCTGAGAGCCTAGAGATACCAGAGCATGCAATGAAGGCCTCAGCCCTTTGCAGAGAGAGCAGGGTCACATGTGGGGCAGCTCTGTGAGTGGTTTCTTCACTTTGGGAAAACCGAATCAGCTTGCCGAGTGGTGTTTCTGCTAACCATGCAGTAATCCCCTTGATGTGCTGAGAAGCAAGATGGCATTCAGCCTCATGAGGACATGAGTGAAGTTCATCTCTGGGAAGCTGGTACCAGACTGATCTGGGCATCAGGAAGTGGATGGTACGGCTCCATCTCCGTTGCTTGGGTCTCTAGTCCCACCGTGGGCTGTGCCCAAAACCAAAGGCAGCAGTATATAGAAATGAAGCCCTTTGCCTTGGCTCTTTTGCTGTATTAGTTACTGTTTCTGTGACAGAAATGACTTGTGAGCAGAAAGGTTTATGGGGGCTCTCAGTTTAAGAGGGATTTTAGTTCATCATGGCGGGGTTGTTTTGGCTCTGGGGATGGCTCTGTCCTTGGTGCAGGAAGTGTAAGGTAGTGTCTGTTCACATCCTGTGGACCAGAAGCCAACTGCAGAACTGTGTGTGTGGGGGGAGGGGGTAATAGCCTTTAAAGGCTCACCCTCAGTGACTCATTTTGTAAGGTAAACCCCATTTCTTAAACCTGTACACTTGAAAATTAGCTTCACAAGCTATGGAGTTCAGTGCTCAAAACATAAGTCTGTATGGGACCTTCTAGATGGGAACCTGTAGACAGAAGTTTCTGTCCCACCCAGTCCCATGGCATTTAGTCCCAAAGAAACACACAGAGGCTTATATTAATTATAAACTGTTTGTTCTGTTTGCTCAGGCTTATTATTAACTAGCTCCTACAACTTAAATTGACCCAAATTCTTGTCTATGCTTAGCCACTTGGCTTGGTACCTTTTCTCAGTGAGGCATTCTCATCTTGCTTCCTCTGCATCTGGCTGGTGGCAAAATCTCTCTGCCTTTTTCTCTTCCCAGAATTCTCTCAGTCCAGTTGCCCCTCCTATACTTCCTACTTGGCTCCTGGGGTATCAGTGTTTTATTAAACCATTATGAGGGACAAGTCTTTATAGTGTACAAGAGCTTTCTCCCACAACAGAAACCGTAGCTGTCTTTGCCTATCTCAACCCCAGTGGGAATCCCTCCAGAGATGATGTGGAGAAGGAAAATTTGCTTTGCTTTTCCTCCTGTTTTTCTGTCTGGGTAGGTAATCCCAGAAGAGAGTCACATTGGGTTGTTCCTGTCCCTTTCTGGCTTTTTGTCACGTTACACCTGGTATTTATGTCTTAGAATGAACAGATCGACTCTGTAGGAAGCCAAGTAGATTAAGGTCAATTAAATGGGAAGGATTGTGCCTTCCGGGAGTCGGGTTCAAGGTGTCAGTGTAAGACCTGTCTTGTTTGTTGGCTCTTTTGGTAGGCTTTTTCTCTAACTGTTTCTCCCGAGGAAGTCCATGTCTGCCTTTAGTCTAATTTATGTATTTTTCACTAATGTTCTTGGACCTTAATCTTCTTAAGTAAGCCCTGGAAGTTTCTTTTTAAACTGCTTAAGGGCAAATCCTGCATGTTTGAGAGGAAAGGGAGCAAGGTGCCTGAAGAAGAGAGGGAATTGAGGAGTAAAAGGGTAGAGACCACTGCAAAGCATCCAGGGTTTTCAAGGGCATAAAAAATAGTTCCATGATTAAGGGGATAGGAGCAGCTAGAGCACAGGGAAATTGGGAGAGTATGGAACTCTCTCTCCCGAGCCCAGTGACGGCTTGTGGTGATGAGTTATGTGAACAGTATGCTGGCATATTTTAGAAGCGTTGTCACCCTGGTTTCCGTAAGCCTCTGATGGGAAGAAGAGGGGGAAATGATCAGTTGTTTTGAGGTCTATGCCAAGTGATTTTTCACAGTCCAGTTCGATGTCCTGTATAAAAACAGCCAAAGTGAAAGGGTCGATACGTTGAAGATCTGCATTGAAACATGACACTCCAGTCAATGTTTCTCTGCGTCAGGACAGTGACGTATGGGTCCTTCCTCCGGGGAATTTTTTTTTTTTTTTTTTTTTGATTTTTCGAGACAGGGTTTCTCCGTGGCTTTTGATTCCTGTCCTGGAACTAGCTCTTCTAGACTAGGCTGGCCTCGAACTCACAGAGATCCGCCTGCCTCTGCCTCCCGAGTGCTGGGATTAAAGGCGTGCGCCACCACCGCCCGGCCCTCTGAGGAATTCTTATACAGACTATCGGTCTGTGGTACTCAGGCTGGTTGCTAAAGATATCAGTGGATAGAGGGTGCAGCGTTGAAGGTCGCCAGTGGTCACTGGGCACTTCTCGATGTGGGCCTTGTGCCTTCAGTCACTGAGAGGCCTGGGAGTGTTTGTAACAGTGTTATAGAAACCAAACCAAAGACTGAATTACATTCTCACACCCCTCTCCCCGCTGCTTGGTCTCTGTACCCTCAGAGTGGCCGGCTTTATTCTAAAGCTGCTGTCTTTTGTCAAGGGTGGGGAGAGTACCTGTGGAGCGGCTTCCCGGGTGGGTGGAACTCAACCTAAAAGGCATTTGTCCAACCCACTGGTTCTCCTTTACTGAAGAGCTGCTGAGTTTCTGAGTACTGGTTGTCTGTCTACAGGATTTTTTATCATCTATGATACCTTTAGGTTTTCTGAGCTCTTTGCCCTCACTTATCAATTATTCATTTTTATGTGTAGCTGGGTGAGAACGTAGACAATTTTCGCTCACGAGCATAACCTTGTAATTTGATGTACCATAAAAATTGTAGAAGGTATTAAATGGTTTTTAAAAGGCATTTAGTATTACTACCGTCATAATATATACGTAATGATGGGCTTTACGTCTAAATAATGACGGCTGTGCGTGCGCAGTGCACTCATTCCAGACTTTCCAGGGCTGTTCGGGCCACCGAGAAGGGAATGTTCAGATTGCCTAGGATCTAGGAGGCATTTTTTAAAACTTCTGTTTTAAGCGTACAAACTTTAATTTAAAAAAAAAATGAGGCCATAACTGGGTGCTCTAACTCTTCTCTTCCCTCGCCTGTGTTAATGTTGCCCAAGCTAAGAAAGGATGAAACCCTTAGAGATTTTTTAAGAGCTCAATTCTTTGGTTCTGAGTTGCTAAGTCAGCAGGTCCTGAAGACAAATTTCTGTTGTCACCTTGTTGGGGTAAGAGAGACCAGAAACTGTAGTGAGGTACACCTTTGGGTGTGCCTGTGAGGGGGGCTCTGGAGAGAACTGAGAGGGTTAGGGCTCGCCTGTAATGTGGGTGGCTCCTTCTCATAGGCTGAGGCCCTGGCCCGAGGAAAGGGGTTTCGGGGTAGGGGTGGGACAGGGGCTGGATGGACGGGAGGACGGACAGTGGACAGCGACAGACTGAGCCCCAAAGTGACTAAGCCGGGCAGCCTGAAAATCATGGAAATCCGAGTTTACCAATAGTAATGCAGCTCAGCTCCCCATTATTCATTCTGGGAGCTTGGAGTCGTCAGCCTTGATTGACACTTGGTGGGGAGAAGGGAAACGCAGAATGCTTGTAGCAGAAGAGAAAGGCAGCCTTCTCTGGGCTGTCTCTCTAGAGAGGCATCATGAAAGGGTGTTTTTGTTCTCCCAGCCTTAGGATCAAAACTTCATGAAGCTGTTTGATTATGATTAAATTTTAATATGGAAAATGAAAATTCCCCCAGCTAAAGAAACTACTCTTCCATTCATTCCCTTCCCCGCCCCTGAAAAATCCAAGAGTTAGTATGACGTCTGTGCCAGTCAGTGGCAGGAAGAAGGCAGCCTTGTTCAAGCAAGCGCTTCCCGGGTGAGCAGCAATTAGAACACCAGAAAGCAGCAAATTTATCTAATTTGCCGCATAAAAAGACTCGGGAAGATTTTGATTTTTATGAGGAGGAGGAGGTAGGTTGCTAAACTCACGATGAAGTGTTCAGCTGACATTTTTGTGAAATTCATTACGGTGTAACACGTTTCCTCAAAAATACCAATTTCATAGTAT